TTCGCTTCGTCTTGCAACTCTTGCTCGCATTCATTTCGAAATGCCCCCCATGTTACGGATACTCACCCATCTCACGCGAGGCCTCGAAACGGAATGGCTACGTTTCCCAACAGCCGGGATAGGGCGGAACCTAGTGTACGAAGCACGGTGTAAGCTCTGGAAACTTGGAAACAAACATCAAGCCTCGAGTATCACTTCACGCACGAGGCCAGCCTAGCCTAGGCCGCCAACAAGAGCCAAGTTTCGGGCATGGCGTGCTAGCCAAGGTACATCGAGGAAGAGATGCTTCGAGGCGGAGCAGCATTGTTGACTTGACCTCCAACCTAAGCCTGGAGACAACTGGAAGAAGTCAAGAACCAAGACGGGGTTGCGGCCAGCAGTTCCAACCGCTAAATCGACCCTCACAAGGTAGGTAGCTTTACCCACATACCTCTATGCTCTGGCGGTCTCGCCCCTCAAGGGAATTTCCCCGGCCATCTATCCGTACGGGTGTGGGCAACAAACCTGCTACGCTGACATGAATACTCATTATTATCCAATTTCCAGCGGTCATTGTTGGTGGTGTCTCGCTCCCGATGAGCCCACACATGGCTCAGATGATGCGACGTTCTGCTACAGCGTGTTCCATATACTGACGAGAGAGCGTTTAAGCTAATTAATTACCTTAACGGGGATCTCGAAATAGACACTGCTGATTGCTCAGTCACATCTCTTCGTTGGTACGTACCGACAGGAGCAGACACGGCCACTGCAAGGAACGAGGAAACGGTTCATGGGACCGCCTGACTTGGCACCAGCCGCTGCCGCCAACTCTCCATCCCTCAGCTTTCGCCGACACCTATGCCATCCACCTGGCACCAGTCCGTCTCTCATCCGTCTCCTTTTCACCGCAGTGCTAGGTGGCCGACTACCATCGGCCTAGCGTCAAAGCGGCCACTTAAATTTGCCATGCCGCATCCTCTAGTCTGTGCTTCATACTCTAGTGGTCAACCAGGGGAAGAGACGTTTGGAGACCCCCCCCCCCCGAGGGCCCGAAGTGACGATACATCATGCACAAAAGGATCTTTTGTGTCCTCGGCCCTTCCAGAACCACACGAAGGAGCGACACTAGCTGCCAAGCGAGAGCATACACGCTCACAATCCAGCGAGAAAATTCGAATCAGTAATGTGTCCGATTGATCCATTTTGCAGCTGGAAATCCGTTGCCACCTTGAATTGGCCTTGCGAGTTAATTCACATTACAGATGAAGCGGATCCAACCAAATCAATTACTTGACGAAGCATCCAACTCTGGATGTGAGATGTCGCAATCACGGAACACCAGACAGTCTCCCCGCTGGCAATTGCTTTTCAACCCCTGCCACTTGGAGTCTGGAGATATATCCATTTCCACGCCGATGACGACTCACACCCTTGTTTGCGGAATGTGAGGACATCGTGGACCTGGGGCAGCTTGAATGCAGCACGGATGGGCGGACTGGGCCTCAGCTTCGCGCAATGGTTAACCCAACGTCTTCCACTTTAAACCAGCTGCTCCAATCTAGACCTCGGACAGAAGCCGATGGGCGCTGTGAAGTTGAACTCGACTATCTTGTAGCTTTGCGAAAACACCATCTCTTCGAAGACATCTCATATGATGGCTCAATTACGAACCTCAGCCCTCGCAATGACTTCCAGCTTGCAGTCTTCCGCCCCGTCTCTGCATAATCCGATGTTCTGCACTCACCACTGCCACAACCCAATTTTGGACCCAAGGAACGACTCGTCCGACGCATCGGGTCGGCCGTCAGCAAGGTCCCCATCGCTTGCGTCCCTTGTCAGAGTTTCAACACCAAACTCTATTACCCATAGTCAATTAGCTAACGACCCAGCAAGCAAGATCCATCCACAACGAGTCGCAAACCGTGGAACCCAAGTCATGGAGGCATTGACTGGCAGGACATCTGAAGCTGAGAAGCCCCTTGACCTGCCACTACATTCAAGCGACGTCATGGGCCAATGGCAGCAAATTCGACAGCGACAGAAATAGTCTCTGCATAGGTGGGCTCGCACATATCTAACTGAGGCCATTTTCAAAGACACCCAGACCTTGAAAACGCATGCTAGGTTGTGGTCCTTGTAGCACGCTCGACAGCCGTTGACGAGTTTGCTTTTTCTCTGCAACTCTACGATGCAGTCAGCGTGCCTAGCAGCTCGAATACGGCCGAGGACGGACCACTGGTATTTCGGCTACGTGCAGTCAAGTGGCACAGCGATAGCGCTCACTGCGAGATCTGGTGTCACAAGACCGCCTTTTTGCATTCCAGTTAGTGTGGTCAAGGACCGCCTGTCGTTCTTTTCCCGCGACAATGCAGGCGGTGCTAGCGAGCAAGCTTCACATGCGTGTAGTGGTGCCACGATGCTGGGGCTCTCGCACAACGTTGCTTGTCATTCAGTGACTGCCGAGTGACGGTGAGGAAGGGTGTAGCATCGTGGTCAACACGAGTCAACCTTGTAAGCTTCCTGCAGGTTAAGAAACTGGTTGCGACATCAAAAGCAACACCAAAAAGCCTTTTATTGATTTCACCTCAGCCCTAAGTCAACTTGCGATGCCCGAAAGAGGCCATTCAGCAAACCTGGGCGCGCCTGGGCAAGCACGGTACTTTCTCCCGCCCCCATGTGAGGAAAGCGCAAGCCAGCCAGGCCACTGCCGATGAGGAGAAGCAATCGTCGGAATGGTGGCATTCCTGTGCCTCACCCTTTCGTGGTTTCAAGGCCAGACAACTTCTGAGCCGGGTCTCAACCGTTGGAATGCCCTGCCCACAAGAAGGTGCGCTATTACTAGCGTCAAGCTATGATCAGATTTGGGGTGTTTTTTCCATTCGCATGTTTTGATGTCATCATCTGTACGAAGAATGCCCATGGGAGCAAGTGCCGCTCAGGATCATCTAGGTTGGTCACGCGCCCGAACTTCATCACCGCCGTCGCTGGGCGGAGGTTCCGTGGAACTGGAGAGAGCGGGAGTGGATCCGGCCGGCCTCTACTGGTGCGGAGCCCGATGCATGGCTGTCCCGTCCGTCATTTCAACTCCCGCTCTTTTTCTTCAGCAATCCGATCAAAGCCCGTGGGCCTGTCTTTCTCGGCTCCTGTTAACCCCTTGGTAGAGAACATGCACACCTACCGGGCTTGAGGAACCGGCAGAAGACATGCCGCAATGTGGCTTGCGACATTCGCAAACCTTGAGACTCGTGTCACCAGAAGCTTCGCCCTGCGGTGCGGAGTAGAACCGCACCACACCACGTGACCTATACGTCCCGATGCGGCCGGATGGAAGTGCAACGTCCCGCCTCGAATGTAGAACCTTGTAGAAGGTGCTCGTACTACGTGACAAAGTCAATCACTTGTTGATTGCAGGAAACCCAAAGTCGTGAATAGCATCATAACTGTCCAAGATATAAAGTCCAACCCAACCCCGGGGAAACACTTACATATCCGAAGTGTCTTCGAGGACCTGATACCTATCTCACACACCTTTCTCACACACCTCACCCATCTTCCACCTCCATCAATCATACCAACCATTCTACATTCTCCAAAGTCAACCGGATCACAAACAATGGCCTCCTCCGCCCCAGTTACAGAATTCATAACCTTCACCTTCAAAAACCACAACACCTCGCCCCCCTCCCAACCGCCCGCAGCCTGGTCCGACGTAACCTCGACCCTCAAATCCGTCCCCGGCGTAAACGCCCTCTACACGGGCACCCAGCTCGAGGACCCATCCAAAACAGTCCTGGTCATCGAGTGGGCCTCCCCGGACGCCTTCTCCGCCTTTGCCTCGTCCGAGGCCTACATGCCCTGGTTCGCCTCCCTCAAAGCCGTCGTCGCCGCCTCCTCGCCCGTCTTCTACAAGGTCCCCCTTCTCTCCGCGAACCAGGACCCGCCGTCCGTTGTCCTCCGCGCGCCGTGCACAGAGGTCTTTGTAGCGTACGGCGTAGAACCCGAGTTCGCGGGCAAGACGGCCGAGTTTGCCAAAGGGTTGGCGGAGGGGCGGGCGAGCGTCGCCGGGTATCACGGGCACGCGTACGGCGAGATCTCGACGCCCCTTGCCGTGGACGCCGCCTCCGGAGGCGGGGACGGGGAGAAGGGCCCTGCTGTGACGCTCTTGTTGGGATGGGATAGTAAGCAGGCTCACCTCGACGCCAAAGCCAAGGCTGGACGTAAGTTTGGTCAACATTAAGCCCCTGCTGAGGGGGGTTTTCCCACGTAGGCTCTAGCAAGAAAGCTGACTGAGTTTGTTTACAGCCATATCTGATAACATTCACTTGCTGAGATCAGGCCGCAAGGACATTTCCATGGTATGTTGTTGTCGAGGCCATCGATATCTTTTTACTTGCCTGCATCACTGACTGACGATGAACAGTATCACGTAAATCTGAAGCAAATCTGAGGACCGAATATACTGGATGCTAGTTCCATGTGAAAGTTTGTTCCCTGGAAGAAGAAAGCTACGAGGATGGGATGACTACGATTACGTACTGTACCTTTATGATGGGATTACGATGAGACGAGATGTGTAATATACTTTTGTGCCCCAACCACCGTCTATCAACACGATATCCTGTGTGCAAACTTGTGCGGCTTACTTCTGATCCGAGGCAGGATTGCTGCGCGTCATCAGCACGTGCAAATCGAATGTCAACACTTACCGTCTCCTACGTCCATCTCATGAATTCCGAGTTGTGGATGCGTCTCAGCCCCAGCCAACAAACTTCGTCACTGCCGCCTTCGTCCGATGCCTATTGGGAATCGATTAGCAATCTCATTCTCACGAGGCCAAACTATCAGTGTCCACGGTGACCTCGTCTCCTGCGCCAAGGCGCGGGCAAGGAAAAGAATTGATCTGCTCCTCAACAAGACGAGATATGCGCGCGTGTCATACGGCAGGTAGAGAGAATGTAGTAGGGCAGAGTGCACGAATGTATGTGGTAAAGTTGATCAGGACGATGTTGGGGAACGGGTCACGATATTCTAGGGGTCAAGGCTGTCATAACCGTCAGGGCTGTGTGAGTGAGGGTGATAGGACGACAAGCAGGGCCGAACAGGGCGGCGACCGATGGGGCGCGCGACGGTGATAGTGATGAGAGTGGGCAGGAAGTCAAGATGTGCTGGAGAATGGATGAAGTAAAAGAGAGTAGTGCACTATTAAAAGTAGTACCTCCTCTAAAAGCACCTTTGATCTGCCGAAGCTGATCGAGACCAGTCCCCCTTTCCAGATGTAGCCGGGGTCTCGCGGCGTAGATGTCGCTAGAGACCAATCCGATATCCCCCAAACACGGCGATGATGTTTCGCGAAAGAAAAGAAACTGTGCCATTCCGCCCGAAATTTTGGTTTGCCGAACTAAAATTTGATAGTCAGTAAAGTCATGAACGTCGTCAACGCTAGATCCGGTGTTTTTCCGATTCTGTTGTACTTGTTAGCACTTTGCTCGGCCCTGCTGACCTTGGCCTCAATCTGCTTACCAAGACGAGAGTAGAGCATGTAAAGCGCCATCCTGTTGCACTCCTCTGTGCCCGTGATTGTGACCAGGCGTTCGTTGCTGTTGTCTTGCGGCTCGTTAATCTTAATCACACTACCACTGATCTGGCGTATTTCGTTGATCTTTTGCCCGCCCTTTCCGATGATGGCTCCAACCATATCATTGGGGATGTAGATCTGCTGGGTCAAAGGCGCGCCTGGCATGGCTCCTCCGTGAACGGGCTGAGCTGGGTGAGCGCCGTGAGGTTGAGGTATAGCAGCACCTGCGTGGGGTTGCATAGGAGCAGCGGCGCCATAGCCGCCAGCCTGCGCCGCACCGTAGTGAATGGGCATGGCCGGGTTGGGCTGGGCTGCCTGGTGAGGGTAGGGCTGCGCGCCGTACGGAGCAGCTGGCAGGCCGTGATGTTGGGCGCGAGCGTCGTGTCTGCGGTTGTAGTTATCGCGGTTACCGTAGTTGCCAGTGGTTGGCTGCGGGCTGTATGGGACAACTTGCATGCCGCCAGGGACAACGCCAGCGGGGCCACCACTCCTTGTCGCATATGCGGAAGCAGCAGGTCCACCGAACCGGTCATTCAGCTGCTCTAGCAGGGTGCTGCCGACGTAGTATGTAGCGATGTGAACCGCGTCAGCAACACCCATAACCACCAGCGAACGCTCGGTCGACAGAGGCAGGCAGGAGTCGGACGCGTTAAGCCTTGCACCGGAAGCCTCCTGGATCTCGCGGATACGAGCGCCGCCCTTTCCGATGATGGAACCGATCAAGATGTGAGGGATGAGCAGGCGCAGAGGGTACGTCTTTGACTGGGCACTGGATGGCTCGGCCAGAGGCTCATTGTTGAGAGTCCGAATGATGAGACCGAAGGCCTATTCGACTGGGTTAGCTACGACCCCTCTGGGCAAGAGCGATTCAGTTACAAACCTTTGCAGCAGCATCGACAACGCCGCTAACGGTTAAGATGCGCTCAACGGCCCCCTTTTGGTAATCGCTAACGGTGCACTTGGCACCCGACATCTTGCGAATGTTTGATACATTTTCTCCACCCTTTCCAATGACGGTGGCAGCTTCCGGGCTGGAAATGACAGCGCGAATGTGAATCCAATCTCTCTCATCGTGACTTGCCGAGGGCGTGGAGGTCGCGGGAACGGAGCCGGCAACGGAGCTCTGGATAGGCTTCGTCTCGGAACCTTCGGCGCCTTCGTCGCCAGCCTCAGACTTTGTATCAGCGCCGTTGGTCTTGTCGGCACCGTTCACATCCGTGGATGGGATGGTAGTTGCGTCGAGTGGCTGCGCCATCTCAACCTCCTCATCGCTCTTCAGTATTTTGTCCAAGGCTGGGCGCTTCGCGTCGGGCTGGTCGTTGCTACGCGAAGGGGACGAGGTCTCCTCGAGGGGGCGCTTGGCCGAGTTGGCGGGTTGGGTGGGCGACGCGGACATGATGGGCTAGTTGTTAATGTCTCACACAAGTTTTCGCAATTCCGTGTATGTTCAAGAAGAGCTTGTTTGTATTCGACTATCTACACCACAACGGTTTTCAAAGGAAAACGGGCTGGTGTAGTGGCGTAGTCGGGATCGGGTTCAGAGAATGTCTCTTCGGTGAAGTGGCTTTGATCGTGCAGGATAAAGGTCGTAGGGTAGGCAAAGATCGTGAAGTTGAAAGATCGGGATGTGGGTTCAGGATGACTCCTATCCTATCAGGTTCGAGGTAACTTCCGAAATCGTGAGAATCGCAAAGATACTCAGGTCAAGCGGAGGGAAGGCGAGGCTGGGCGATGAGGCAGCGGACGGGCAGGAAGAAGGTGGATGATGGAAAAGAGGTAAAGAAGGTGGGAGGGAAGGAGCTGATGATTGACAAAGGTTGTATCTGGGAGGCGATTCGGATGCAGAAGCTCAAACCTTTCTTCCGAACAGTCCAAGCTGCGATGTATCGCGACGTGGTGTCAAGTCTGCAAGCAGAGCTTTGATGTTTCCTTGCGTGAGGTTCCTTGTCTCCTTGAAGCTTGTCGAGCTGTTAAGCAACGAAACGATGATGGCAACGCGCCGACCGTCAAGCCAGAGTAGTCGGACCTGGATAGCTTTTGGAGGCGACACGTGAGAGGGAAGCGAAACTGTGGGGGACCGATGCGCTGCGCCGTTGGAAAAACACAACCCACCAAAAGCTTTCGACAAACGAGGAGAGAGACGAAGAGGCGAGTCGGTGATTAAAAGAGATGGGGAGAGAAAACCGTGCAGGGCAAACAGATGGGTTGGAAGGGGGCTCCGGATGTCTCGAAGAGGTTTGAGAAACGGGATGGGAAGGCAAGATATTCTCACGCTTTCTCCTCAGAACAAGCAGCGCAAGTGCCAGCGCGGCGCCAATGCCAGGAGCCCATCGGTGCCCGCCTGGGGGCAAGGGCCAGTACAGTGTCTGAATTGGATGCACGGCCTCCACATTGACGCAGCCAGTGCCTTTGCCTCATTTGCTGCCTGGCCTCGACAAGTCTCCACTCTACACCAGAAAAAAAGAGGTATCCACACAGTGAGAGACGATGCCTTTCCGGCAGATTAAGCAACATGGGGGAGAAGGTGGCCCCCGCTCCGGAGGTGCCTAACGTACCTTCCGCAGCGTGAGGTGCGCAACCAGCTGGTCCCTATGGTACTCTTATGCCGTACGGATACCTGTGTGCCTTCCCACCTACGTGCCTATGCTGGGGATTGGATGTTTCATTGGGCAGATCCATGCAGCGAGCCGCACAGTGTTTGCTATTTCGTGTGCATTTCCTCCGCACATCTCCCGCAGACTAATTGACCAAAGGAAAAAGGTGCGGGAGGGAAATGGAAGCTGCGCCTTGCGCCTTGCGACCGACCCTGCCTCCAACGCGGTGCTCTGCATTGTTTCCAATGCAAGGGGATGCTCCCATCGGCACCGACACACCTCCTGCACACTATACTCCGTACGGGGTATTACAGAGTACACAAAGCGAACCGGCACAACGTCACGACACGTCTCGTCAATGTGAGAGAGATAGGCATCGATTGCTTTTCAACAAGTTTCCTCGTCGCTGTTAGTGTCATCGTTATGAGCAGCCACAGCCCTACCGACGACTAAAACAATACCTTCTTTAATCCAGTCCACCGAGTCAGGAATCGCGATTGACAGCGCGCCAGACTGCTTGACAGCCAAGACAGAGCCATCATCTGTGCAAGTCGCGGACTGTCTGCGCCCCCGGAAATCTTGATAGCACCCGACACACAGTGACACCTCGTATGAAACAAGCAGAGACGATCTAGCGCCCGAAGTCGCCTTAATTATTCTGACAAGGATCGAATCAGACGCTCGACACCATTGGACGTGCCCATTGCTCCGACGGGCCGTGAGCTTAGGACGGATTGAAGACCTGCGCGTGCTACCGTTGCTTGAAGTGTTTCGTTTCCTCCGGGAAACCCTCTCGAGGTCGCGTGCGCCATTCTATCTGATATTTGCACCGTGTCGCCAAAATACCGGATTGTTTGGCCTGTATCAGGGACATACAACAACACACAGCAGCCTCTCACTTTGAGCGACCGCTTTCAGCACAACATGGACGAAACACCCCGTCCCGTCAGCGATAGGTACACCTTGAGCCTGGATCAGAGCTTGCGAGAACTCCAAGAGAAGATTGAGCAACACCGGGAAGAGCTTGCCGCAGTATGCATCCTAATTTATGCTCGTTGAGTTCTATAAGTTAATACGTGAACAGCTTCAACGAAATGCCAACTCAAGCCAGAATGTTGCTGGACCAGGAAAAGAACCCTATGAAGTCATGAGAGGCGCTTTCGAGCAAGTTGCCAGCACGCCTCCCTTCGTACCTTTCTCAGAATCCGTTCTACCCGCGCTACTTGCCCTGCGAACGACTCGTCAGACCGTTGTTGAGTCCCAAAACTATCTGACGAGTCAAGGAGCCACTTTCGATCAGACCAAACGCAGGCTCGAAGTTGAGCAGGCGAATTTGTCTGACCAGAAAACCCTCCAGCAGAGTTTGGAGAAGCGAGTTCTGTTTCTCAAAGACGAGGCCGAATCTAGGATGGAATTGACGCCCGAACAGGCAGCCAAGAAAAGACTGGACGAACTGAGGCAAAAGAAGAAGCGTTACGACAAGGAGACAACCAAGCTACTCAAAGCTTTGAGAAACTTCATTGACGGTCACCTGGGAGGTCAACTAGCTGCGGAAGACCTCGGCGGACCTGTCGTGGGCGACATGATGGAAATTGATTCGGATCAACTCGGTGCTGGTTTCAACGCCCAGGGCCGACCTGTCAAAGTCAAATCCAATGTGGACGAGGATAAACGACAACGACGCCTCGAGGAAGTTTGGGGTTTATCCCAAGAGGATGCCGGCCGCGGAAAAGGCAATACGGACGAGGCAGCGGCTGCTGGTCGCGAGATGCGCGATCTTACAGAACAGCTTCTGAATCAACATGCTGAAGCAGCTGGCGATAGCACTGCGGCGTACGTTAAGCTCTCAAAGGAAACAGCAGCGGCGCGATTCCTCGTCAGGTCCAAGGTCGCGCAGTTCCATCCTAGGGACGCGACTAGGCTCAAGCTCATTGATTTTGGAAGAGAGCTGGACGACTAGCAGGGCTTGATCTGCCGCACATCCGTGCGAGCGTGACTGCGACGCAGTCGGCGCAGATCCCCCGTGTGGAGATGGCCAACCAGGCAATCAAATGAAATTTTCACGATAGCATGTCTACCCTGGGCCTTGCAATGTCAGAGAAAAGCTCCTGTTGTTAAGCGTTGAGTCTCTTGACTCAGGGCACGCAGTTCTCATAGGCTCACTAGGGCCATTGCAGTGTACAAATGAGGCTCCGATGTTCACAGTGCGCGCTCGTTTTCGATAGTGCGTCACAGTGTATGCGATTAACTCTACACTTGCCTCCGGGTCTGGATAAAACGGAAAAAAAAAGTTGGTGTCCAGGTTGGCACCTTGGCGTACGAAGCATGCGTCTGAAGCATCTCCTTCCTCCCTCGTCAATGCAAGAAATCAGTATGGAGAATCGACAGACTTTTGAGATTTCGAGCCTTTCTTTCAGGAGGGGTTCACAAGGCAACTCTGAGGCTATCTGATTCTCCTGAGAGAGATCGTCGCAAGATGAATGAACTCTGCCATGCCATGAGGTAGCTTATGCCCTTGCATGCTACCTTAAGTCGGATGACGACCTCTTCATAGTACGGAGTACTTGATATGTAAATGGGCAATTGGCATCTCTGGTTCTGATTGGTCAATTGCTCTGCCGCGTCCTGACGCGTCTCGCGCGACACCGCCAGAGTGCAGACGGTGGGAGAGTGTCCACTGACAACCCAGCAGTGGAAAGCTCCAGCAGAGCAGGCACCTAGCTTGTCGATTCAAAGGAGTAGACTCTCGCTCAGCATTCGACTCCCCACTTTGCTCTAGCCCAGAATTCAAACGGCGAAAAGGTAAACTCTACTCTGTAGTCTTTACATCCCCTAACGTTCCTCTCAACCCAAAATGACCTCTTCTGAACCCGTCGCCGCACAACAGCAGCAGTCCGATCCTCCCGCCAAGCGAGTCAAGACCTCCTCCAACGACGCCCCCGTCCCCGCCGCCATGGAGCCCTGCCCACCTCTTCAGATCAAGAAGCTCTCCGACAAGGCTCGCCTGCCGACCCGCGGCAGCTTGTTCGCCGCCGGCTACGACCTCTACGCAGCAAAGGCCACCACCATCCCGGCCCGCGGCAAGGCCATGGTCGACACCGACATTGCCATCTCTGTCCCCGCTGGCACCTGTATGTGTTGAGACCTCTCCTGTTGACAGCTAGCTCCTCAAGAGCTTCCCCCTTCTTGGCACTTGTAGTTATGGCGATGTACTGACCACACTTTCTCGTACACTATAGACGGCCGCGTTGCTCCCCGCTCTGGCCTCGCCTCCAAGAACTTCATCGACACCGGCGCCGGCGTCATCGACGCCGACTACCGCGGCCAGGTCAAGGTCCTCCTCTTCAACCACGCCGACACCGATTTTGAGGTCGCTGAGGGCGACCGCATCGCCCAGCTCATCATTGAGCGCATCTTCACCCCCGAGGTCGTTGAGGTCGCCGAGCTCGAGGAGAGCGTGCGCGGCGCTGGCGGGTTCGGCAGCACCGGCGTTTCTCTTGCGCAGTAGATACGGTAGCGTTTGGTAGATTCGATAGGGAGGCCTCGCGCTATGGCTTACAAGAGATTGAGCTCACGGAGATGAACCAACCGATGCCATCACATCACCATGGGAACGATACAAAAGTTATGGATTTCTTATAGAACTGGAAATGGACGAATAATGACAAATGCTACGACCACCACGATGTGCCTTTTTCTAGTCCTGATCCACAGGCCGTCTCTACATGCAGGTGACATTTATCTACCCAAGCACGCTTACTTTCAAATCTATGAAACAGAAAAGGAACACCACACAAAAGCGCCTTTCCAAAACCAAACACGCCTCTATAGGTCTTTCTCTCCCTCTTCCCCGTCGTAAAGATTTCGAACCACGGCCCCCCCCCCGGTCCCCTCCAAACCCCTGACTCTCTGACCCCTATCGTCCAAGGGGAGCACCCTCTACAACCTTCTCGCTCTCAACTCCACAGTCGGCTCCCGCAAGCTCGCAAGGTTTCTCACGAGCTTCAGCTCGGCGCTCTTGCTCTTGAGCAGGTGAAGCTTCGTCCTCCCTTCCTCCGTCTCCGCCAAGGCGTCCCCGCCAGCGGCCGCGACGACCTCCTGCATCCCGCGCGCCGTCTGCGTGAGGACCTCGTGCATGCTCGCCAGCACCATCTCCGCCGCCTTGGCGAGGGGCAGGTCCAGCGCGTCGACCTCGTCGCCGCTGAGCCAGGATTCGCGGTCCTTGAGCTGCTGCTGTTCCTCGCTGTTGGCGCTGGCGGCGATGACGGCCTCGCGCATGCGCACCGTCATGAGGGCGGCAAACATGTCGCCCGTGCCGGAGAAGTAGGCGTCGATGGCGGGGAAGACAATCTTGAAGAGGCGCGGTTCGCCAGTGGAGGGCGACATGCTAGAGCCGACGACGGAGAGGTGGGAGGGCGGGTGGTCGGGCGAGGCGAGGGAGACGGAGGTGATTACGACGTGGGGGATGCGGTACTTTGTGTGCAGGGCGCGGATGGCGGTTTGGAGCGTCTGCATGTCGGTGATTTTGACGCCCGAGAGGAGCCTTGGTGTTTTCCCGTTCGTCAGTCTTTTTTGTCTTGTGGTCTCTGTTATGCGTGTGAAAGAGGGGTATGACGTTTCCTTCTTCATATGAGGGTTCTTTCACCGGAGTGGGCATGACATGGACGCCGAGGTGCTGTGGATATCTGGCCATTTACACAAGAAGGGGAGGGGGGAAAGGAGACAAAGGGAGGATAGAAAACATACTCGGCCTCAAATTGGTTGGGAAGAATCAAGTCGGCGTGCTCGACAAGGCTCTGATACGCGGGAACGACCTCCTCGGCGACGTACAGCTTCCCGTTATCGCCCATGACGGGGTCCAGGACCCAGAAGAAGCCGCCCGGCGTCCCCGCGGCGGCCTGCTTCCGCTTGAGCTCCTTTGCGATATCGCCGACGGCCACGACGGCCTCGGCGCCGGGGATGTAGCCCGAGAGCATCATGTCAAAGTCGTCTAGGTACGACTGCTTGAGCCCCTCAAAGAGGTCCCGGATCTCCTGGGCGGACACCCTTGTCCCCTTCCATTGTTTGTAGCCTGTGTGATTGCCTATCGTTTTTTGAGAGAGTGTGTGTTAGCAAAGTAATACCTAGGATAATGGGGAGGAAGGGAAGGGAAGTCAGTCATGGAGAGAGGGAGAACAGAGTGGAAGGAGGAGGCCATACTGAATTGGACGGTGTTGAGAGCCGCGACATCGCAGCCAAGGGACTGCAGTGTGAAGACGGCGATTTTGTTTCCTACATTTCTGCGAGAGGCTGTCAGACCCGCGGTCCAACACTCTGCCTATTGAAACGCCTAGCGCACATGGGGCGTATGTGAAAGGGCGCGACACAAACTCACCCGGACACAACCTGTATCGGACCGTCAGTCACACATCTCGGTCGAGGTTGTGAGAGCTCAGAGAAAAAGCCTTACATGACTGGCGACGGCCAGGACGCGTGTATCGGGGATCGGGAGTTCCACCGTCATGATCCTGTTGCGGGACTTGTGACGTCTCAGGAACAACACCTTATTGCTTGCTCAAAATGCGTGGTTATGGTATACTGTAGGTATGTTTTACTGAAGGCGTGTGTATGTAGTTTCTCAGATCTCAAAAGTCGGTTATCGGCGGGATCCTTTATCGGGAAAGATGCCGATGCGCGGAATGATTACAGATGCTGGACAATGAGAAGGAGTGTTGCGTTGAAGAATGGTGCAGAAATAAGACAAACAAACTCGATGCGTTGTGAAACAAAAATCTGGGCAAAGTAATAGGTCCTGTATCGGCACAATTACCCGGATGTCTACCTATTCCGGAGATATCTCTTGATCTCGTGTGAAGACAAGAGAGAGAGGTAATAGATGGGAGTGACTAAGTGAGATTAGAAAGGATTCAAACGGGTGTAATGCGGTTCCAGGTTCTTCCACTTGGTTAGCTTCGCAATTCCCGCTCTGGCAGTGGCTCTTGCTCTGACTCTGACGTTGCGACGGCCGATGCCCGCCCAACCCGATGTGACATTTCCAGAGAAAAAATCGACCCCGCCAAAAAACCAAAGGGCGCATCGAAGAACCCCGCACTAGCCCGAGATTGGAAAGCTCTGACGGTAAGGCAGCTCGCCTCATTGCAGCTGCTCTCAGCTGGCGCACTCTTTCAATTGAGAGAATCCAGTAAAGGACTGGACTCGATGAATGGCGAGCACACTAGGTATCAAAGTCATGGACCCATGGTCTCATATGTAAGGTAGGCGGAAACAGTTATTTCATTATCTTTCGTGGTCCCAAAAAGTGCTTTTTGCTCTTCCTTCACCAACGTATTGCGTATCTTCTCTAGAACATGCAAAACTCAATCCAGAGTGAAAAAGGACAGGCCCTTTGCCCCGTCCATGATCCCGTACAACGCCAGCAATATCAACTTCATTCCGTCGTTAATCGCCGGATTTACTCCTCGTCACCAATCTAGGATGCACGTTAGCTTTTTGTCTTGATGGTGTTGAGTGTCATGCAAGAGACTAGACTTACCTTCGGCGCCAGGTAGAAGCGCAGGTAGCTGGAGCCCGCCAGAGCGTACTCGACAAGCAGCGGTACCTCGTTCGAGAGGCAGATCTTGACTTGCTTGGAAATTGCGGCGGCCTTGCAGAAGTTGACGAGGTACTTGAGAGAGAAGGTCAGGGAGACGGGCTCAGAGAGCTCAATGTCGACGTTGTTTTCGGGCTTGTCCACGTTGGTGTGGCTTCGCAGGGTGACGGATCCATTGCCAATGTCACCGCTGGCAGCGAATTTGACACCGTCCTTGCTCGCGTCGATCGTAACTGTACGCGGCAGCAAGTTAGAATTTGTATTTTCAAAAAAGTGTTTAGAAGGGACAGCGCTGCCTACCCGACTCGCTCATTGCGATCAAGTCCGCGCAGATGCGTCTGAACTCGCTGCTCGGCATGGTGATAGTGGAGGCGTAGTCCGTCTCGGGAATACCCAGGTGCTCCTGGTCAATGTCCATCAACTTGAGGTCGTACTCGCTGATACGGTCGTTGGCTGAGCTCTCGAAGAGGATGTTCAGGCTGTCGGGGGCATCCTCAGCCTTGAGCGTCAGGATGTCGTCGCCTTGGGCGGCGCGGAGGACCTTGGTCAAGGAGCCAAGGTTGACGCCGAGCGCAATGTTGCGGTCGCAGCGGAAGGGAGAAAAAGCCTCGGCCTTGAGAGCCATGGAGACCAAAGCAACGTGGGAGTTGTCCATGGCCTGAAGCATGATGCCGGAGTCATTGCAGTCGAAGTTGCAGTCCTGAACGAGATCCTTGATGGCATCGACAACCTGGGCAGGTTAGTCACAGAACCAGCAGCCATGGCTATCAAACCAAGCTAGGAAAGAATTACCTTCTTCAGGATATCGGCCTGGTCGAGTCTGGCTTCCAACATCTCTGCGAAATGTCAGCGTCATGCACTTGGATCGAAAACTGGGAGGATCGTGGAAGAAAGAAAAAAAAAATTTGTGTGGATGGTACGACGTACTGACTGATTATATGTTTGTGAAAAGAAAAGGAGCAGAGGGGTATCTTCGGGTATCAAGGAAGCGGAAGGGAAGGCACAGAGATGATAGTGAGCTGTTGTGAAAGTTGAGATCGTCAAGTCTGTGATTGAGGGGTTGATGAAGGGTGGAAGGTCTTGTCGCGGAAAGCACTTTAATGGGCAAACACGGTCGCGCGTCGTAGTGGGCTGGCGAGGGAACGACGCGTCAAGCGTTTAATAGGGCTCAACGCCAACAACGCGCGGGGGGGCAGGAACACTCACTCACAGGCACGCCAGCCAGCGTCCGCTCCGTCTTTGATCGCTGACGGATGGCTCGTGCACCGTTCACCTACGTATCCTTGGAAGGACAAGCGAGCAGCCTGCCAGGCGCATTTTGCCCTCCTGAGATAGCAGCTGGTCCGGGCTCACCGAGCTCTCTCCACTTCGCCAGGGGTGTACGTTGATGCTCCAAGCCCCTGAATTGTGGCTCCCCCTTTCTTCTCCCTGACGACCGGGCTTCTTTGTTCAAGCTCCGGATGGCAACCGTTGGATATAAGTAATAAAAACGGCACAAAACACTGGAGTTGTTGCAACCCTGTGTGGCTGGTGAAGACGTAAACAAAATAAAGTACAGATCAAACAATAGGGCTATTGATTTCTCTCGCTTTTAGTTCCCTAGTAGATACTAACTTTTTTTGCTTGTAATACTAAAAGTAGTCTCCAGAGATTATCTGGCCCGATCTCTGAGCCTGCACCAGATGTCATGCTGGGCATGAGTGCCATTATACAATACAAATGGGTCAACTGGAAGCGATCGATACCTCCCATCCGGATTCCCTGAAATCCCCTTCTATATGCATCCTAAGTGCGAATGTGTTTGCAGAGATTATGTATCAGAAACCAAGAACAGAAAAGGAAAACGAAGATTCAAATGACTGTGATTAGCTGAATCGTTGCACCAGAACGCCATGTCCGTCATCAAATGTCATGTCCTCATCACATCGAAACAATGCGTGATGGATTCGTCCCGGTTCGTGGGCGGGGCCGGAGGTTGATGACCATCTCAAGTTCCTTGAGCATGCCTCTGTTGGCATCCGCCTTTTCTTTGGCGATCTCTCGTTTCTCCCGGTCTTCTCTCATCTTGACGATGCGCTCGTCTCTCGTCAATAAGCTGCGGGGCCGGAACGGCTTAGCGACCGCCTCAAATATCTCCTCCGTGTCGGGCTCTCCTGTGCTGCTAAAGTCTAAGCTTGAGGGGGACTCTCCGTTCAAAGCTTTGAGGGCTTCGGCTGCTCCGCCTCCTTCATCAACTGTCGTGAGCCCACTGAGAGAGCTGGTCGGAGACAGCAGTGTGCTCATGGAAGAAAGTCGCTTTTCGTTCCGGTCGATACCCAGAGCGAGTGCCGCTTTGCCTTCCTCCCAGGCCTGCATCAGAATCTTCAGGTCAGCCCCTATGGACTCATACTGTGACATGAGGTTGGATCCGAGCTCGGAAATGTCGTCAGACTCATTGAGGCTTCTGTCAGACTCCTCCCTTAACAGCGTCAATTTAGCCTGTAAGCCGCGAATACCGCTGGACAAAGAGTTCAGTTTCCGTAATTGTGATCTCCATCTCTCACGACCAGGTGTTAATGGCATCTTTGGAGTTGGCGGTGGTGGGAATGCTTGCGAACGTTAGTCAACACGCCTTATAGTGAGATGAAAAGATCACTTACACTCCTCATCGCTCAGAAGTCTTTTCAGGTTGTCGAATGCCTTCTGGGTGACCGTATTGAGAGTGCGCACCGCTTCTACTGTGGTAGTCCATTTCAAGAGGTCGTCGCTCTCACCGCTCGCGTCCAGGGCCAACAATGCACACAAGAACATCTTCCGGATGGTGTGAAACCGTGCGGCGAGGATCTTGAGCGTCCTCAAAGACTCGGTGTCCTCAAACTCATCCTCCTTGAAGCCTTGCTGGGCATCGGACATGTCGAAATCGCTGATATCGTAAATGTCGTAGTACTTCTCGAGGTCGAGTTGTTCCGAGAACCCTTTCACTACCGCCACGGTCTGATCGTATGCGGGAATGACATCCGCGAAGCACGCCCTCAGAGCCCTGCGGAGCCGCACGCACTTGCGAGTCTGTGAGCGATCCTCTATGCGGCTGATGGGCGGAAGAGGCGCACTCCTAAAGTTTGTGTCAGCGCATCACGGACTTTCTCGCCAGCTACTGGGCCAGAGGAGAAATTGAACTTACAGACGGTAACCTCTGGAAACAAGTTCCACCTCCTGCACCAGAGCAATCGCTGCGCCAGTCGCGCTGTCGAATTCCTGGGAGTTTGAAACAAACGCAGTGACCTCTGACAGTGCTTGGAGCCGTCTGTACCTCAGCCATTGTCTACGCATAAACACATGGGCGATCCCTGCAGCGATCACAAAAACCAACAGAATGACGAAAGTGCGCCGTTTGTTCAATGGCCCGATTCCTGCAAGCCAGTTGATCGAGACGACGAGAGCCAATGCCCCTAGAACGACGACGACCGCGCTCGTTGAATCCAGCAGCTTGTCGGCCGGGTTTCCGTCAATGGCCATATTGGCGGACCGGGATGATGCATGGTTCTGGGATAATATGGAGTGCCCACTCAATAGCTGGGATGCGATAATAGTATAGCGAAATTGCTCGAGGAATTTGGAGTTGTCGGCTCGGTCAATCCTGGATGCTACCGCGGTCTGGAAAGGACACACATCAGTAATTTCCCCATGTGCCAACAGATAGGGGATTTGCAATGCGCACCGAATAGCTGAGTCTGTAAGACTTGTCGGAGGCCGCTTTGGTAGGTATGTCGACTCTGAGGGGATTATTGCGGAATCTCGACCTCACCATCGGCCGACCTGTCGGCGCGAACTCAGGGCTCGAAGGAGGCGACACATCGTAGGTTGGATCGTCGTGCGCCCATCCTGCCTGCTCCTCTTCGCCTTCGTCTACAGCATGCGCGCAGATTATCAGTGGG